TAGCCTCAGAAACAGGTCTTGAGATTTAACAAGTAGCCACTGGCTCCCATCCTGCCCCTGGTACATTTTCAGAAGTTATTTCCTGTAATTCACCCGAACCCAACTGAGGCATTACTGCCCTCACAGTGGGGAAACTTAAGTCTCGTAAGTGACTTGCCCAAAATACCAAGCTCCTCCACCTCTCTATTTGCTTTGTGACAGGCTATAAACTCACGTTTTCTCATATTCCAATGACACATTGCATGTGAGGATGTATGCATCTTCTACTCTTTTTTTCATATCCGGATGCCGTGCCCCATGGTCCAAAACAAGACCTCTGATTAAGCTGTTGAAACACATAAGTCGTGTTGTTATTGATTTCCAGATAATAACATACACTAATGAAATTCAAATACTGAATTGAGACTGTATTGATAATTTTCACACAACTTTATTTCTTGAATTTTTGAAAAAGATTTTTGGGTGAAACCTAGGCAGGTTCAATTATGAAAAAGCAATATCCAGAACACAGTACAAAAACAAGCCATTCAAACAAAAGTAACAATCCTTATCTTGTATAGAAAATTCTGCAGAGAAACAGTTGCAACTGGTAGGCTCTCAAATGTGATCACCTCCTTTAAAAATTATTTTTAACTAGGTCTTTGAAATGTAATATATATTCTAAATTCCCCAACAGTCTCCTACTATGCTTTGTAACCTACAGTTTAATAAATCATTGACATAACTCGCTTTTCATAATCATACTGACTATAAACACCTAACAGTAATCTCATTTCAGGAGGAAACACTACTGAGCGAACTAAATATTCTAGGCAGTACACATAAAATCAAAGAAAAAGACATCAGCCAAATAATATGTATTACATAAAGTGCCTGTAAATTTGTAAACACACTTTGTAAGTATTTCATAGCATTCTACCACCTACCTTGTATCAGTTTCAGATTTATGTTTCATCTCCATGATCTCAACCATGAAGAGGTCAATAGGTTCATCTTGTTTTTTAATGGCCAAAATGGAATCCACTACAGCCTACAATAAGAGCAGAACCATTAGATGAATTTGATTTGCAGTCCAGACACTTATGTTGCTTGTTCTTCAGAGAAATATACGTTTCTTTAAAATCTGAATCAGTCTTCGCCTTTTTCTATGAGGTAACAGATACATTACTCGTAAAGGATTGAAGTCATTTACATTTCTGACATCTCAATTCATAATTATATAAAAACTCATTGATATCCTTACTATTCTATTAAAAATATTGGTAACAGGAAGTTTTTTCACAGTAAAAGTCTCATTTTTATAAACCTTTAATGAAAACTCCAATTATATCTTTATAATATGGTCAGGTATACTATTATTTGGTTTTCTCATTTCACATACATCAGCCGCTCACTGCCACAAAAAAAAGAAACTATCTAACATGGTAGGATACTGTGAAAGTTTTAGATAGCACCTTGTAATTCCAACTAGAAAGTATGCCAGGGGTTTCAGTATAGGTGCACACACCGGACACATACCACATTTAACATACCTCTGTTAAGACATCAGCAAGTTCAGCATGCACTTTAGTACGTAGAGATGTTCTGGCCACATCTATAAGTGTTTCCCTGTCCATTTCTTTGCTTACTTTGACTTGTTCCAAAAACTGAAGTGCCTTTTCCTTTGCAGCTTCAAATCCTTCTGTTATTATTCTGGGATGAAGACCCTGTAAACATACAATTACATAACCACCAACTGGAGTTCTTCAATTAGATGAAAAAGTAAATTTTTAAAGCAATACTCTGGATCTTTCATATGCTTTAATATAATGTGCTGATTTTTTGAATACATTTAAAAGGATAAATAATCCTTTCAATGCAGAGGAAAAGAACAGACATTACTCTAGCACAGAATCAAAGCCAAGGGAACTATAAAGCACACTTGGGTGTTCACTGTGCAAACCAGAAGGAAGAATGCCCAAAACCTAAAACTGTACTCGGTAGGACCATTTATCTTTCCAATTCACATCGTTTACTAACAAAAACAAACAAGGAGACGAAGCGTCCGCTTTTTCTCTCTTCCCAAGAATTTCTTGGCATTGGATTACTACTAAGGTTTGCTTTAACCTTCAAACTAACCCAGGGCTAAAAACGTTGTGTAATTCTTTAAATTTACATTTTAGTTGGCTTTCCTTATAAATATGCCTAGTCCTGAATATCCTGTTTCTAGATCTCAACTATCAATCTGTTATAGACAGACATATATAAGTAATATGTGATGCAACTTGATTAAAAAAACCCTGCAAAGGAAGGTTCCTTAATCTGTCCAGGATCACAATAAACTTGTATTAAGACAAGGATATAGGGGCACCTGGGTGGCTCAGTTGGTTGGGCGACTGCCTTCGGCTCAGGTCATGATCCTGGAGTCCCGGGATCGAGTCCCGCATCGGGCTCCCTACTCAGCAGTGAGTCTGCTTCTCCCTTGGACCCTCCCCCCTCTCATGCTCTATTTCATTCTCTCTTTCAAATAAATAAATAAAATCTTAAAAAAAAAACAAAAAAACAAGGATATAGGCTCTGGTTCCCAGATTCAAACCCCCTGCTCTTTACATTCTACCATATGGCATTGCTACTATGAACACCTCAATTTATATAAATTTCCTATATATATAAACTACCACGGAAAAACAAAAATCATGTATGTATACTTCAGAAATGTAGAGATCCGCCTGTTTCAGTAGCTCTCCAATGATTAGAACATTGGAAGTGGTACCATCACCAGTTATGTCATCTTGGGCTGTTGCTACTTTGGCTATTAAGGAGGCTGTTGGGTGTTGAATTTGCTGAAAGTAGAAAAAGAAGAAAATTACTTAAGTTGAAATAGTCTAAGTATACCTTAAAATGTGTGAAGGGTCTCCTTAAGTGCATCTATTTGCATAAATTGCCCAAGTGTTCAGCTACATGCCATACTGATTTAAAACTCACCATTAACTATTTTGTACATCCATTTATGGTACCCAAACATTTTCACATTTAGATTTGAGAAGATTATCTCCACTCTACTGATGAGGAAATCTGAGGCCCAGTTAAGTTTTACTGAAGATGACAGAGTTAACAGGAAGAAATAATTTCAAATCCATGCAAGCTTCTTTAGGACTCTTGTGAGAATAAACCAGGTTCCTTCTAAAATTAAACCTCAGCAGCCTCCAGTATTACTTGGATTAAACAAAAAATTAAAAAGATCTTTTAGCAAAGATCATCAGTGAATGCTAAATCGCTGAAAGGTTCTGTAAAAACAGAATATTGTATCTCCAATATCACCCAAAGATTCTTAATTACAAAGGATGCAAACAATGCTCCTGAACTGCTTTTGGTTTTTAAGTCTCCTTATTCTCCTGTAATCTAGAACAGTTTCCCAGCCTTTTGTTTTTGGGGACACTGACAGTTTTAAGAATCTAGGCCAGAGGGACGCCTGGGTGGCTCAGTTGGTTAAGCTTCTGGTTCTTATCTTAGGGTCCTGAGTTCAAGCCCAGCCTTGGGCTCCCAAAACAAAAAAACCCCCCTAAATTTTATTCTGAACTCAAAACACAAATCATTTCCTTTTCTTGGATTTTAAGTGCTAGATTTTGGAAACTTAGGGATGAGTAAAACAATTGCTCCTCTCAACAGTCTCACACTCTTGGTCAGTGGGACTTTTAACATTAGTAAAGCAAAGAGTTTTATCTCCCCTTCAGTTGGAGGTGGAGAGAGATGTTAACAGACAGAAATCCATCTTTTAAAAAGAGAAAAAGTATAACCATTTTGAGCTTACCTATGTCAATCGCTTAGTTTTTCAGATTTTAATAGAGTTAATTTTAATAGGGTGGTTGTAATTGTAATTGTAAAATTTACAATTAAATTTAATTGTAGTTAATAACTACAATCCTTTAACCAAGGACTTTACACGGCAAGAATAAGGATTCAAAAATAAGTTATAAGACTCCAGGTTCCTCCAGGCATCGTACTGTCAGTACTATCACTGATAGCATTCCTTTCTACTTCCTCCATTGTCTGAAAGACCTGCTCAGAGCTGACGCATTTCTCCTATCTTGAAAATGAACATTAAAAATCTTACTAAGAATCACATGCAATACGGAAAACCAAGACATTTTCGACCTAATATAGCAGCCTCTCACCATTTCATGGAGCAGCACGTTGCCATCTTTAGTAAGCTTGATGTCTCCAGCACCAGAAACAAGCCTGTTCAACGGGCACAAATGAATCACAGTGTGACTTTTTCAACGGAGACCTAATTAAGAGTCCCATTACTATCGGGCTTTACCCAGATCCTAGGGACCTGGGGCCACGCGGCTGGTTCTCCCACCCGGTAACAGGAATGGTGCAGTGCCCACCCCCTCCCTTCAGAGAAACAGCCTGCCCAACTCTCAGTTAGGGTCCCAGGGCGCAGGGGCGAGCCGCGCACGCGGGCAGCTTTGTTCTTCGCAGAGATGGCATCGATTACAAGAGGAAACGACCGGGGCAGGAAACAAGAGCGACCCGGGAGTCTGCGGTGCGGGTAAGTAAGGCCGCAGCGACGAGCGCAGAGGCCCGGGGGCGCCAGGCCCGTGATGGCGCCAGGTACCCACCCGGCCCTCTCCGCCAGCCCCGCCTTACATCTTCATGGTGCCCTTAGGCCCCAAGTTGGTCCTCAGCACGTCCTGCAGGCCCCGGGCCGCGCTGATGTTCACCGCCAGCGCAGCCTGGGCTCGGGCCACCTCGGCCTTGGGGTTCAGGGTCTTCACGGCCGCCATAGCTAACTAGCACAGGAAGAGGAGAAGAGCCGGCGTGCGGAGGGCCCAGAGCCCGCTCAGCGTGTCCAGGAGGCGTTCGCTGCCCCGGTCTTCTGGAAAAGTCGGGCGCGTCCGGCCCGCCCCCAGCGTGCCCGTGCGCCGCTACCATTGGGCCGCAGGTCGGCCCGCGCCGCTCATTGGGTCGCGGCGCCTACGGTCCCGCCCCTCGCGGCCGGCCCCGGCGCCATTGCGCACAGGAGGGCCCTGTTCCGGGGCAGTAAGCGTTCGCGGCGGTCCGGTGTTGCCGCCCGCCGGGCCCCAGCTTTGCAGACCGGGGACCTGAGGACGGAGGCGGGGCCTGTGGGCCGCGCGCGTCCGGGCGTGACTGCAGAGCGGGCCGCTCTCCCCTGGAGGTCTCTGGCCGCAGGTGTAGGGTGGGCTTCCTCTTTCCCCCACTCGCGCGGTTTGCCCTGCTTCCTCCCCTCGCTTCTTTCCTCCCTGTCACCAGCGTTTTCTTGACTATCTACTGTGTGCTTGGAGGGCTTCTCGGTGCTGTGGGGATACAGAAGTGAATCTGATAAGGGCTCCTCGCCGAGTGTAGGTGTTTTAAGTTTAGGGAAGATGAATGCAAGGTAGAAAGTGCTCGATGCCTTTTTAGCAAGCTACGGGATTGGTGTGTTGGCGGCTGAGGAGAAGCTGGTCAGTCCACCCTTCCCGCTCAGGACACACTGCTCTCAAGGCGGGTTTTATTTATTTATTTATTTTTAACAATTTTATTTATTTATTTGTCAGAACAGGCAGAGGGAGAAGCAGGCTCCCTGCTGAGCAGGGAACCCCATGAGGGACTGGATTCCAGGACCCTGGGATCGTGACCTGAGCCTCAGATGCTTAACTGACTGAGCCACCCAGGCATTCCTCAAGGCAGGTTTTAAATCTCAAAATGATTGAGTAGTAGTCTCCTTTTTAAGACAAAATTCCGAAAGATGTCTGCAGTTATTTTCTAGTATCCCGTATTCACCCCCCCATTAGATATACAAGGTAACGTCTTGTATTTCATTTTTATAATATCAAAAATTGTTAGAATTCAAAGGTGCCAAAGGGTGTATGGTGAAAAGTACGTCCTTGTCCCTCTAGTTCAACTTTCTTCAGACAAGCATAATTACCCTTAGATGCTCTGAATTTCCCAGATGCTTTCTGAATTTATAAATATGTATCTGGATATAAGCATTTTTCCCACACAAAATGTCAATTTATAATACACGCTGTTGGGTGTATTATAAAGTATCTTGGCGATTGTACCATATCAATATGGATAGAGATTCCTCATTCTTATTAACAGCTGCATGATATTCTTTGTAAGAGTGATGAAATTAACTAGTCATTCACTGGTTGATATTTAGGTTGTTCCCAATCTTTTGCTATGGAAGTTGCAGTGAATACCCTGGTATATAATGCTTTTAAGTGGCTTTGTATATTTGTGAATCAAAAGCACATATATAAGTTTGAGTAATAGCATTACACAGGAGACTTGTGCTTACCTTATTTGGTAAGTATGCATATTTGTTTACTGTTACAGATGTAAGGGGAGACATGAGCAGAGATGAAGATTGTGGAACTTTCAGGCATGTGCTTGCAGGTAGAGAAAGGGGGAGTGGATCTCCTGAGGTACAAAGTTTAAAAGGGGCACCATAAAACTCAGTAACTGAGATCGATAATATTTTAATGCAATATTTTTTATTTTATTTATTTATTTTTTTAAAGATTTTATTTATTTATTTGAGAGAGAATGAGATAAAGACAGAGAGCATGAGAGGGGGGGAGGGTCAGAGGGAGAAGCAGACTCCCTGCTGAGCAGGGAGCCCGATGCGGGACTTGATCCCGGGACTCCAGGACCATGACCTGAGCCGAAGGCAGTCGCTTAACCAACTGAGCCACCCAGGCGCCCTGCAATATTTTTTAAAAAATCAAAATTAATGCAAGAAATCCACAATGAATGGAATTTTAATTAGGCATCTCTACTAACATCACACCAAAGTCTCAGCAAAGCAGAAAGATCCACATGATCCCTGTAGAGGCAGTCTGTTTGCATATATTATTCTACTGGTCTCTGTTATCACTTTCAAGCAAATTAATTGTTTTCATTATATGATGCAAAAGAGTGTTGTCTATATGGTAATGTATGTATAGAGTGGGAAAACTTCAGAATGTCTTTGGAGAATTTCACACAAAAGGTCATGTTGTGGGAGCAGATCCATTTCAATCCATGATTGAAAAAATTGAGGTGGTAGCAGATGTTTAGCCATTTGATTCAGGAGGGATTTCAATAAAGAATAAAATTTTGAGGAATGAACCCTAATGAGGCAAGGTGGTATATTAGAAAGAATCCTAGAATCAAACAATTTGAGTTTGAATTCTAGATTTGCAATGTTTACCACTAGGTGAACTTGGACAAGTTATTTAACTTTTTTGACTATTTCCTAATATATAAAGTAGGGGTAAATGACATCTTAGAGAAAATTAAATGAGATTGCATGTGTAACATGCTTTGTATTGTGCCTGACATGGAAGGTGTGAAGTAATTGCCACTTTTGCATTCATATGGTATAATTAAGGCATATAATTTTTTTTTAGCTGTATAATTCTTATAGCACCTTCACATGTAGTGTTTCATTTGATCCTAATATGAATCCTTTGAAATTTAATAGGTCAGGTATAATCAAACCGGTTTCATAGATGATTAAATCAACACAGAAAGGTTAAATGACCAACAGGGTCATGCTGTGTTGTATGAGGAGAGGGCCAAAAACCTAGGTTTCACCCTTGACTTCTCCCTTTGCCCCAGCCCCCCACATCCACTTACTCCCCGAACACTTTCACTTTCTAGATATATCCACTTTTCTCCATCTCCACTTACACCACTCAGGTTTAGGCCATGATGATTTCTTACTTGTACAACTACTGTAGTGCCCTAAGTAATTGTTCTGCCTTATTCCCCATGTTACTACTGGAGCAATCTATCAAAAGTAGATCTATAAGCCACAGCTCTGCTTATAATCCCTGTTACCCTCAAGACCTTAGACTGAAATATAAATGCCTTAATTTGCTTCCAGAATCAACTACCTCTTGTGCCTACCTCTCTGGGTTAAAACCCTTTTCTCTCTCTCTCTCTGTAACTCACTGCATGCTCTGATCATTCTGAATTTTTCAGTGCTTGGAACATTCTACCTGCCTTTCTTCAGCCTGAACCACTTTTCAAGGACCACTTCTCTCCTCTCCTCATTCTTATCCCCATTCCCATCCAGTGGGTATAGAAATAAATAAAATCCCTAATCCTCAAGAAAGCGCATGGCCTTGTTATGGAGATAAACTTGTAAACAGGTAAATGACCGTAAAGTGTAGGATGTTATAGTTAAGAGATAAATGAAGTACAGTGAGCGCAAAGGTATTAGCTTTGAGCACCAAGGAAGGTTTCTTGGAGATGAGGCTAACAGGATTTTGAAAGATACATAGATACTTTTTGGAAGAAGAGGGCTTAGGAGAGTGATTCCAGACAGAGCAACAGTGAAAGGACCTGGCATGCCCATTGAAAGGTGGTTACTTAGGATGGAGGGAAGAAGGTTGCAAGAGACAAATGTGGAGAAGTAGCATTTCCTGACTGTGGTGTCCTGGTTAAGACATCTGGGCAGCAGTGGGAACACAACAAGCTAGTGATGAAGATTACTCTGGAGGTAGAATGAACTAAGGGAGAAGACAAAGGATAGGGCAATCAGAAAGAAGGATGTTGAAAAGTCCACGCAGAAGGTGATGAAGGCATATTTAATGACATAAAGAGGTGTTCTTGATAAGAGGGAAGAACGTTTTAAGTGGCATAAATTATATGTTCTTATTTTTGTAACCTCTCCCCATGTATCTATACCAAAATGAGGGTATGCATCAAAATATTAATATATTAAAAAATTCAGAATATTTTTATTTTTGCAGACCTCCCCAAATTTGTATATCCACAGAAGGGAGATGCAGAAGTATATACATGAAAATATAAAATTTACAAAGTATGTCCAGTGTCTTATTTTTATTAAGTCCCCCAAGTGTATGTGTGTATATTAACTTGTCTCAATACTGTTTGTACAGTATTTTGTATTTATGTCTTTTTTCCAATTAAAAATCTAAAAAATTATTTTCATGTAGTCAGATGTATTTTTTTTTCCCCTTTTATGGGCATTTGGATTTTGTGCTATACTGTGTAAGACAGGCCTTATGCTCTTAAAAAGTATTCTTAAAGTTCTCCCATGTTTTCATTTGTATTTTTAAGGTTTTAGTTTTCATTTTAACCCTTGATTCATTTGAAATTTATTTTAGTAAGGAATGTAATAAGAATCTGTGGTATTATGAAAATATGTATTTGGTCTTTGTCCCTGGTTCCTGGCACAGAACTCCTTAACCATTTCTGAGTGATGGGAGTATCTATTGTTATCCCTAACCATCCCCTTTAGAATACACCTGAGTCTGTGCTAATGAGGTGAGTTGAGGTGGGAACCCTAGATAGCCTCAGGTTGGGGACTGGTCACTAGAAAGACCAAACACAGTGATTAGAGGGTGGGGACTCAGTCCCATTCCCCCATCCTCTGGGGGAGTGGAGGTGGGCAGCAGATAGGTTATAAAAATGATTGAATAACCGGGGTGGGTAAACACACTGATACCGTGGTAGGGCGGTGTACCTAGAGGGCTTGAAGCTCTGCTCCTTCCTCAATACTTGGTCTTGTGCATTTCTTCCATTTGGTTTCTTCCTGAGTTGTGTCCTTTATAAATAAACCGTAAACCTAAGTGAAGTGATTCCCCAAGTTCTGAGTCAAGTCTCAAAAATTTTCAAACCTGAGGAGGGAATTGTGGGAACCCCCAAATTTGCAGCCAAGTCAGACCGAAATGGAGGTAGCATGTAGGCCTGGAACTTGTAACTGGTGTCTGAAGTGGAGGCAGCCTGGGACTGAGCCCTTCACTGCAGGGTCTGTGCTAATTCTAGGTAGAATTAGAATTGAATTGTGTTGCTGGACACCCAGTTGGTGTTGGAGAATCGAGGAAGTTGGTGTCTGAGGACTGGATTGGTTATTGGTGTT